GGCTGAAATTTCAAATCTACACCACCGAGGAACGGCGAGTGCCCATGGAGACTGCGTGTATGGTACCTGCACCATTGCGAAAACGGTATTGCAAGGGCCTTACGTATCACTATTCAAAAAAAAAAACTTTCTAATGACAGCCCGTGCAGTACCCGAACGTAAAATTGTGGTATGGGTGTCACGTAGATCACATGAATGTAATCGTGGGTACTTATTATTGAATCATTACGTGACAGCGTGACAAGAACGAAAAAGAAAAAAGCTAAGGCATACTACAAACAATGAGACAAAGAACGTGTGTGCTTTAGATTTTTTCTCTCGTTCCTGCCTCGTTATCACATAATGCACCAGTATCAACTAGCCCACTTCGCTGTATTAAAGACATTTATCTATATATCCTTGACCTATTTTACAAGTGTGGTTCATTGGATCATTAGTATGAACGCACTGTGGGTGCAGCGCAAGGAACAGACAAAACCCCACAAAGGAAGAACAAGGAAGACGAACATATCCTTGCTTGTGCTTTTTACTCTTCCAGTGTTTCATATGTTATCGTGCTGCGTCCACGTCTCCCATTGATACATGCCAATGGTACAGTTAACCGCAAATTTGTACAAAAAATTTCCTTTAACACTAACTCGTTAGCTATAAAAAGCATTCAAAAGGCTCAAAATCCTAAAGTATTACAACGCGAAAGGACAACACCAGCGAATCATCGCATTCCCAAGTCTCGAATTCATGCACTGCGGTAGTATTACTGAAAGAAATGAGAACAATAAAGGCAGCGCACTTAATAGAACATTAAACGATATTAGCTTGAGTCAGCGGGCCTCCCTTGCTGCTGGCTTTCGCGTACGACGCGATAATTGCCGATCTCACTCAGCAATACATCACTGATGGTCCTGGGACATGTGGTCAAAAATGACACCGCGTTCTGCACGCACTGCTTTTCCCGCACGCTGCATGGGCGGAATGTCGCCACCCTCCATCGACTGCACTGACGTTCAGGGACACGACCTCAATTGCGGCCCTGGCCGGGATTGCCGGCACCAGTCGATAAGAGAACGTGACAGTGTTGTTCGGGTGCATACATTTATACGGGTTCATAGGGTGTCCAAGAGAGGCAGTGATCTACAGTTATATCTACAATTGAATAAGTCTCGTGTTCCTTGCCAGTGGTAGATTTGTGGTCTCAGCCTGTATTTCAATCGATTTTAGGTCATGCAGCTTGGTCAGTCTCTTACACAAATTAGGGCAGTGAATGCACAAATGACTGATCCCGCAGAGCCGAGTAATGGCTTGCCACATTCACAGCGCAGGTATTACTACTAAAAGAAGCCTCCACTGTTCTAGGAAACTTTTGACGAGATATGGTTGAATGCCAAACCGCTATGAAAAATGCCTTTAGACACCAATTTGCGAGTTGAATCAAAGTTTGCCCCACAATCAGGAAACAGGAAATAAACAAGCAGCGGAGAAGAAGCGCAATAAATTTCATGCAAAATTCTTTCCGTTTTTCACATGATGTGTCAAATCGCAACCTTCGATTATCAAGCAAAATTATGTTGTATAGGCACGGGGAAGAGAAAAAGCCTGCTTTAGAAGGGCACATACAGGAAATACTTCACGCCCGGAAGTATTTTCTGACCGCTCAAAAGCCAAGAAATTGATAGTGCAGAAATGTTCAGCTGTGCAAGAAACAAGTTGTGGCTTCGTAACAAAAGTGAACTGAAAACGTTAAAATGTGTTTAATATCAAAGTATCGTTGAAGATACCACTGTAGCTGCACAAATTCGTAAAATTGCGTTTAACCTTTGCTATCAATTATAATAAATAAATGTGGCTAAGCCATAATAAAAATAACCGGAAGCGTGTGTGTAAAATCTGGTGTCTGAAATATGTAAAAGGATATCACTCCTTTTCAACTGTTCTTCATTCACCCTAAGTTTTGCTACAAAGATTTTCATTCTAACGATGGTTTCCAGCAAAGCATTTCGAAAAGGGTATCAGACGGGGATACCGACCAGTTTGTTGATGTACGACGCCAAAAACCAAAAAAAGAACACTGAATAAGACATAAGCCATGAAGGACCATGCAAGGAGGGATGCCTCGTCCAGTGTTTGCGGCGGTCTTTGACGGCAGAAGTTGCCGACGCCAGATTTGTCACGTCAGGTTTATGCGACAACCGAGAACTAAGCGATCGCACGTGCGTGCCGCGTTGCGTAATGAGCATTTGCGAGAGCGCGTCTTGTCTTAATTTTCGAAGAATTATTAGATTTTTCTAATAGCTTTGCTTTGGTACTACAAATTAAAAACAAGATGGGTTTGTTAAATTTTCAATCTTGCATAATATGTTGCTGCAGTGTAATCAAAATTTGATAAATTTTCAGGAATATGACGGTTTTGATAGAATGAAGCAAGACTTATTCATAGGATTTGGAGGCATTATTGTTAACTCTTTGTTCTGGCTGTGACAAGCTTCAGAACTATCTTCTTTTGGTTTATTTCACTATAGTAAACAACAGTAAGACATATGTGACAATATTTGATATTTGTAAGCACAATTAGTAGCACTGAATACATGTTTCGTGAATTCTTGTCTATTTGAGGTCAGCAAAGTAATGCGCCGGTACTATCGGAAAATAGGCCACCAAGACACCCGAGGATATGACTCACTCGGTCTAATTGCAATAGGACGGCCCCACAGATTTGCTCGATACAAGCGTGTTTACAAGCCATGTACTTACAAGTGCAGCGACACGTCTTTGTCACGAGAAGTCGTGAACAAGCAAACAAAGCTAAACCGAGAGATATAGTGCGATGGTTATCTACCTCATTTGTCTCGCTTTCGCGTTCATTTGTGTCAGACGCTATCCTTCTGAGTCGTATAAAGCCTCCAGGGGAATGAATGGCCTAATATTACCTTCTCTCCTAACTGGAGGCGCGGTGACAGTGTAAAAGTACATATAATAGGTTGTCACTACGGACGCGGTTAATCTTTCCAGGAGATCAGAGGTATTACGTCGGTTCCCAAGCGTTCGCTTGCGAGGTGATTCCTCTAGCGCGTGAGCTTGGGAGCTGTTTCAATTTAACTTCGTTTAGACGGAATTTACAGCAGACTCTCAACGCTAATAGCTAAATTCATAGGGCGATGCCAGCAAACTACTACCGGTTGTGGGTGCCGTAGAAATAGGGCATACCTACTATTCACAACTCATCTGCTTAAAATAAATATGGCAGCACACAGGCAGCAAACAAAATGTATACGCCACACAGCAGGCAAGGGGACGCATTTCACAAAAAGCTTTAAGGAGCAAGGCTTCTTAGAGACATGGTCTCACGGCTGGCTCCTGGGCTACAATCATGTCCGGCAACCTGCAGAAACTGAATAATGTTATTCACCCATTCACCTAAAATTAAATGCAAGAGGTATTGCGTGGCCTCCGGATTTAGCTGCAGGATGTATAATAATATATGGTTAGAATCGCGTGGCCTAACACATTAGTTTAGTGGTTTTGGTGTCCAACTGCTCACTCCAAGGTTACAGTATTGAATCCCGACCGCGGCAGCTGTGTTTTGATGGAGGTGATTTATAGAGGTCCGTATACTGTGCAATCTCATTGCACATCGAAAAACACAATGAAGTAAAAATTTCCCGAGCCTTCCACTATGGCATCCATATTAATCATACTGTTGCTTTGAGATTTGAAACCCTAACAAGCTCATGTACTGATTCTGGGTCACCTCGTTGTTAGAAATTTCTGCAATCATCTTTAGCTAAAAAAGTTTGCGGTCACCCACTTTCAGAGGTGAATTTCTCGTATCTTTTAAATTTATATTGTTCACGAAATGGTGACGAGATAAAATCGAAGACCTTAGAAACTTGCCTCCACTAATTTTAGAATGAGATTACCGTAACATGTTAGGCATCAATTAAAGGCTAAAACAACAAGATGTTTTGAAATTTCAACCTATAAGAAGTGCGTTATCATTAAAGTTTCAGGAATAGCAAACGTAAGTGGCATGGCCATCTTGGTTTATACGATATTTAGCCTACAGCTGCTTCCTGCAGTTTGAACAAAGCAAGAAAAAGTTAGATATGCACACAACAACGGAGGAGTAAAAGTTTACGCGCTAAAAGTTTACCTCACAGAAGCCATATAATGCAATACGTTTTTTCGGCTCACTTTTTGATTCAGTGTTATCAGGCATGTATTAGTTTTCCCCATTTTGCTACAAACTAACTTTTGTCCCAAGAGTTTTTAATCAACACGTCCCTTTCTGCCTTTCCCTAATCACCCTGCAATGTCAGGATCGCACCATGCATGGCTGCGTGTTCTCTCACTCCAACATGCACGCATGTCAATGTGAGCTGTGCCATGGCCAAAACCGATACTGGAACACCGTCGTCATGTTGGCAATATTACACTACCGCACAGTGGGCTCCTCATGCTGTCGTCATTGCCGTCCTCTTCAAGCAACACGAACCACCCATGCACTTCCACATATCTACCTTCACTAAAAACGATATCACTTAGAAAAAAAAAAGCTCCATGGACATCACCCCCACAAATGAATCGCGTCTCTCTTCTATCGTTGCGTCATATTCGCGTTTAATGACGCTAAAGGGGGGGGGGATAAACAACAAGAAAGAAGGCAGGGAGGTTAACCAGGCACATGCCCGGTTTGCTACCCTACGCTGGGGGAACAGGAAGGGGGCATAAAGATGAGAGAGAGAGGAAAGAGAAGAGCTAAAGAATAAAAGTATGCTTACCAACCAAAGGGTATACTAAAAAAGCTGATATTTAACGCATGAAAATTGTGATACCTTTACCGTACGTATATAACGAGTTCAATTCAAAACTATGCAAATTCTGGCAAATCTCTTACGTTACTAAAAGAAACTGCAAATGATGCCCGCATCTGGAATCATTGTCATATGTTACACTACAGCAACAGCTGTACTACCCAGGCTTGTGTATGAATGGGCGCAACTCACGTGTGGTATCGTAGTCAAGTCCGTTGAGCGACGCGAAGCAAGGCACCACCGCCAGAGATGAAGCTGTTGTCTGGGGCCAACACGTAAGACCATCCCACACCACGGGACAAGATGTGCCCAAATATTGGGTGTCACCTGTGTCAAATGGGAAAAATTCATATCAGAGAAGAAATTTGTCTAATTATTTAGGTTGTGGCAGTAATATAAACATAAACACAGAAGGCACATGAGAAATAGACATGCGATGGGTTAGGTAAAAAAAAAACGGCGGGTTGAACGAGAACAGAAGTGTGTGAAACACATTAGCTTATTACAATAATTTGTACTTAAAAAACCATTAGAAATGTCCTGGCCAGGATGTTGCCTTGTTTTAACGCGGTAGCAATTAAATAGAATTACAGGCATATTTTTGCGGTCGCCAGCTACGTCACATTTCTTGTAAAATCCGAATCCATAACATAGCCGAGCACGTCACGTGTTCCATTTACGTGTCAAACTACAAGAAATGGTCTATTTCACTGGCCAGGCGCAGTGGCTTGCGGGAGGACATAGAGTATGTTTTCGGGTGATTATTCGAAGGACTGATCGTTGGTAATCTTCATAACAATCATGACTACACCATCGGTATAGGCCAAAGGCATCTCCCATGCTCCTTCAATAAACCCAATTGTGTGCTTGTTGCTGTGACGTTGTACTCGTGAACTTCGTAGTCTCGTCTGCCCACCTACCTTTCCGTTTCTCTCTCGCACGTTTATATTCTTTCAGAATGTGAGGAATACAATACGTCAGTTACCTTTACTGACCAGCGCTTATCATGCCTACGCGCTACGTGGCCGGTCTAAGTGCGCTTGTTTTTCTTAATTTAAGCAATGGCGTTCTTATCCCTCGTTTGTTGCGGGACCCACTCGGCTATACCTTGGTACATGTGGCCTTATCACAACGTTTTGTCTGAAGGCCATGAAAGTAGAGAGCCTTTTGGCTTAGGCCAACACCTTGTCGCCCCCTAGTTTATCGGTAATATAAGGCACTAACCATACTTTCTTAACACTCAAGTTTATCATGTTCTCTCATTGCACAAAGGCCGAACCACCACAGCGCCATTGTTGGCGTTCTTCTTGCGTTTTATACTCCGGCGACACTCGGCATTGCCTGTATCGGTGACGGTGGCCGAAACGTCTACCTGAGGATTTCCCAGACATCGGAAAGCCGGAGTCGGCACCAGAGTCTGCTCGAGGCACAGAGAACCAATTAGCGTGCGGCCATCAGTCACTTCGGCCGACGTAATGGCTCGCCATTTCGGCAGCTGTCATCACTGCGCTTTGCGTGGTCTTCAAGTTCTCAAGTCCACTAGTAGATGTGATGCTTGTATTTGACTTAGCTTTGCCCATAGAAGCCTACGGATGAAAGCGCTCATGATCTTTTAAACTGTTACCGAGAACAATACTCAAGTTCACTGTTGAGCTCATCAGTAATAGCTTTATTGGACGTATACGCAACCTCTAAGATGTGCGAGAAGTGTTACTGCAAGCTCAAAAGTCATATATTTTGAGTGTTCAGAAGGTTATTCCTAAACTCAGTAGGTGATTCTACAAGTAAAGTTATAAGACGGACCTGTCAGTTGCAGTGCATCTTGTTATTTCTCGAGCTACAAAACTGCTAAAGACATAAACGCTATACCTAAGTCAGTCTAGTAACAAAGAGAAATACGACGAGTTTCTACCATTTTACTTCTTGAAGGGTATGGCAGTACAAATTCAGAGAATGTGAAAAGCGCCACTTAATTCTACTCGGACGCAGTCCATGATGGCCCAATGTTGCGACAAGAACTTCCAGCCGAGGATGATTTTATGAAAGCATGACGAAAGTGACGAAGAGGTCACCAGCAGTCTTCTTTCGAAATGAAATCATTGCCCTTTTGTGCTCATCGTTTTGAACGCATCGGCATAGGCATATAGGCCCACTTTCTTGAAACTTCTCGGGTAACTGATAAGTCGCTCTCAGACACAATCACCTCACGGGATACGCTGATACCGCAGCGCTTCCGGCAACTACAGCGGGTGAAGTCGCATTCTTCATTTTGCGAAAGTTCAATTTTTGGCATGGAGCACCATGAAAACTGCTCAGTGATAGGGGGTGCCATGTTCCTTTCTGAAGTAATACAACGCCTTTTTGATGCATGCAACTCATTCACCTCTAGTCTACAGCTTACCATACACATACGAATGGCTTGACAAAAATGTTCGATTACACTCGGTGATACATTGACTATGTACGTAACCTCGGATTATAGCAACTGGACAGTGTTTACCGTCCGTAACGCAAGCAAACGACACTGCCATACAAGCTATACCAATGGCTTTTCGTCATTATTTCTGTTGTACGGATGAGAGCTCATGGACACATTGCTTTTCGTACCAACCCAGCAATTTCGAGTGTACGACGGTGTCTGAAGCTGCCAAATACACAGAGGACTTGAGGCAGGTTGCACGTGCTATCTGCGTCAAATGAAACCGGAACAGCGACAAGCCTTCGTGATGGTATAGTGCGTGCCGTTCACTACTGACCATGGACAGGCACGCATATATGGGCACAGCTGCCGAACAGGGTGCGCACGCTTGTAAATCGTGATAACTGAATAGTGCGCACTATACCATCCCGAAAGCTTGCCGGTGTTCGGGTTTCATTTGACGATAATAGCCCACTTACAACAACTCCACAAGGTCACGAAATGATGCGGCATGATAGCCACACTTGTAACATCATTTTGCGAACTGGTTCACTGGTTTGTTTGTCGGTACCACCACACAGCCATGGACTTTCAGCGGAGTTTCGTGCCCCTTTTGATGATTCCTGCCGCTAATTGACCGCACATTCTATGTCAACTATGCCGTGGAACCTGTGACGCCGTCGCACAGACCGAGGCATTGCGGTCGTGGCACGGTGCATGTTGGCATGCTGAAGCCATGTTACGACCCTCTGATCGTATACTTGCGAATTTGTCGCCTGGATGGCTCCTCTTTCCCTCCCGGGGGCCTTTGTAGTGAGAAAGAGCACGATGAAAAGGTACAGCGGTTATTGCTGTGCGCGTGGTTTTCCGTGATGGTACCTCGACTGTTCAAGGCGTCGCTGCCTCGTGGTAAACCATCGTAAGACATCAGAATATTTCTTGTCGCATTATTGAAGAAAATTGCATACTGATTTGTGTTGTGTCCCGGTCCGCTCTCTCTCGTCCGGAGTTGATAGTTTTACATATAATAGGCGTAACTGGGCTTCTTTTAGCGCTCCACTTCTTCCTTTTCAGATGACTTGGAGAGTGCACCTCTCCATGCTACCTCCCCCCCACCCACCCCCACGTGCATGCCTATGGTTGAGTGTTGAAGTCAAGCATACGCTGGGAGAATCAACAAGTAACATAAATCATGCGCCAGCGAAATGTCTGGAAACCAATGAAGACTGGAATGACATTTTACAGCGGAAGATGTGTATGGTTAGGTCAAACGAAGAACGCAGTTCGCTACGAGTTTCAATAACAGCCTTCGCGGGCTGTGCCAGCAGGTACATCGTTCTCTACGCCGCACCCAAGCGCGCTCGCTATTGGCAGCATCTTTAGTGACAACTTTTTCTGCCTTTTACCCAAGCACGCGTGCCATTAGGTGCGCCGTCAGTGACCTCATTCATCTCTTCGCAGCCATACCAGAGAGTCCGAGTGCAGCAGCCTAAACTTAACTTACACATAAGCAACATAACCATGGCATGAGTTTTACAAACATCTGAACAGCCAGCCGACCACTTTTCAAGAACAGCGCTGACAGCTGATGGAGAATTTATGTTCGCTGGGCGGGTGTTCGCTGAGCCGGACACAAGAATAGGCCCGGATGGTGAAGTGCAAGCAGCAACTGCCGACCGATGGTGATGTCTTTTATCGTTTTAGAAATCTATTCAATAATGGAAAATTCCATTCTGTTTCCGCTTCTTTTATAGTGAGTATTTGCTTGTTTGCGCGGTAGAATCTGGCAACACTGTTCTCATCCCACCGTGCGTGAACTGGCGATTGCTGACCTTATTGCTTCTCTTGTGTTTGGTTGCCCCCTGTTGCGGCCTTCTTGATTTATTGATTAATTGATTGATATGTGGGGTTTAACATCCCAAAAGACCATTAGATTATGAGAGACACCGTAGTGGGGGGCCCCGGAAATTTGGTCCACCTGGGGTTCTTTAACGTGAAACCAAATCTGAGCACACGGGCCTACAACATTTTCGCATCCATAGGGAATCCAGCCACCGCAGCCAGGATTTGATACCGCGACCTGCGGGTCAGCAGCTGTGTACCTTCCTGTTCAGACAACGCTGAGAAACGAAACACCAGAAAACGCAGGCAAAAACGTTGCATGTGATTTGCCCATAAATTTTGATATATGCCAGCGCTATTCCTTATTCTTTTTTTTTACCTTTTGCCGTGCTGAGGTCATAATCACTCACCTTTCACTCAATTTCTTTTTTTTTCACTACAAAAAGATTTGAGCTGCAAGTCATGGCTTCTTATGTTGTATCCAGATTTTGGTGCAGCTGACAGTTTGTGATGCAAAAAGTTTGCTACCTGGGGGGTTTCTTGTGAAGAGACCGGGACTTATCAAGAGTCTCTTTAGGTTGCTCTTACACTAACAGATGGTTTTCCAAAGAAGGGAGATTAGTTCCGGCCTAGCTACTAAAACGTGACTCATAGGTCTGCATTTAAGAACACAACCTAAGTTGCGTCATAAGTTGCAATTGTGAAACATAAGGAAAGTATATATTTCAGTTAAATTTCAAACAAAGACTTTCCTTAAGGCTCACTGATGAACGTGTCACTTTATGTATAAGTACGACTCCTGGAAACGAGGCCACTGAAATTTTCCCACTTGTTATAAATAATGAAGCACAAATAATTACTGTATGTTTCACGGGACACACGCCATAAATGTTCAAGTCTTTGCAAAGTTACATTTTCTCACACACGGAATAAATTATTCTCGCTTTTGTCGTTACTAACCCTTCAGCTGGCCACAACAAGCAGCCGCCACTCAGCAGCCGTTAGTACAAAACGAGTGTCACAAATCACGACTAGTTTGTCGTCTATGAGTGCTTGTTACTTCGGTGAGACATCGCATGCAATGCGGGCGGTTCTTTCGTGACGGTACGTGCAATTCACTCCTTGAAATTTCTCTCTGCGGTTCCGCAGTAGGTTATTTTTTCAAACTTCTATTTTCTGAGCGTTCCCTTTTAATACTTGTGGTGTTGTCATGTGAAACAAATTATTGATTTAAAAAAGTCACAGCTTTGCCGCAAAGGCGAATCAATGAACGTGATAGCAACAAATTAGAAGGTCACGCGCAGAATGGCAAGCAGGTCGAAACATACCCCGCATTTCTCACGCACAAAGGACCCACGAAACGAACTCACAGACACAGATTAACGTGAATAAACATCTCCGTTGTCACAATGCTGTGTCTGAAAAGCGCGCCCTTTTCGCAAACGGAGGCTGTGCAACGATTGCAGTGACCTTTTTACGCCCGGTAACTACAACAGAATTGTGCCGACGAAACCCAAAGGCTAGCCAAGACGTACGATTTTCCGTACTGCAAGGTAAGGGTACGCGATCGTGCGTAGACCCCCTTGTTCTCTACGCGGGCCGAATTACGCTTGAAAGATGAGAGACGCCGCGCGCTCACTGCGCCATCTTGCTGATAATGCTGAAAACACGATAATTCTCCCCACTCTCCGACCCCAATAGCGGTAAGTGGTAGATATGGATAGCTTGTCGTTTGAACCACTGAGCCGCCGAGGTTAACGCCTCACATTCACGACGCGAAGGTCCCACGTTCGACTCCACGCGCCGGAGTACTTTTTAGTTGTATTTTTTTTCTTTCTTGCGCTTCGTGTTATATATATTATATATATATATATATATATAATAGAAGAAAAAAACTATAAAATACTAATAAAAATGGCAAAGACGTTACAAAGCTGCTACGTAATCAATGGATACGGACAATGTAGTGCGACTTGCTGAGCAAGGTTGAAAAAAGATTGGACAGGGTGATACAAGTTACGCAGATAAGCAACTAAGTTTTCCTACGTTTTCATTCAGACCAGATGCGACGGCGTTGAACTTATAGATGAGGAATGATTCACGGGCTTCTCTATCATAATTTGTGCGGAAACCAGATTCTAGTAATGTGACTTGTAGGTTTTCAAAAGAGTGGCCAGGGAGGTGCACGTGTCTTGAAATGGGCAAGTGGGGCAAGGTGTTAGCATGAGATTTATGGTTGTTAAAACGCAGTCTAAAAGGCCCTTCTGTTTGACCAATGTACTGTATTTCACATAGCGCACATTCTATCATGTATATCACGTTCTTAGAATCGCAGTCAAGATTGCCTTTGATTTTTAAGGAAAAGTTGGAACCAGTACTGGTGTATATATATATATATATGGTACATAATATCTACGTCGACGTCCACGTCGATGGAAGTGATGAAATCCAGCCGAGAGTGTCCATATCATTGCTATCGCAATAAAAGAAATAGCTGAGCGTCTTTCACACATTCTGTTACACAGTTAATACGGACGTCCCACGGCTATTCTGCAGACGAAAGCAGCCAATAAATGGGGGTGAGTGCCCCCGGCTTCCATGAGCTCCACGAACGCGCTCTGCCAGCCGTTTCTAATGAAAGCCTGCAGCTGCCGAAGTGGGGTTGACGGCTGATTGAAACCGTTCAATGAAGAACTTGCTTGGAAAAGTGGTATCGCGGCAGGAATCGCGCGTAGTTCTGGGCGTAACAGTGGTACGTAAAGATAAGCTTGAACTTTTGTAATATATATTACACACAGCTGGCAAAACTATTAAGTCGGTGACAATGCTGTAGTGGTCAGCCTTATTGTTTCAGAAAAAAACAACAACAGTGGAAGTAGCTTTTAAAGTAGCCTGTAGCTGTACTTTACTCTACGGCACTTGAGTAGCATTTTAAGTTTAACATAAGCACAACTTTTGGTTTGTGAAACGCGTAAAGTGCCGATTAGTTGCTTGAGTCATATGGTAAAGATAAGTTTGGTTCATAAACACGACCCATAATCTTCTTTCGGTTTTCGCGCGTACAACTTCAAAATGAGATTGCCTTTTTTGTTTAATTGTAGGTGCTATGCGCATGTAGAAGGATAAATGAGGGACATTTATGCAATATTAACTGCCACTAAAGGTCGTTTGCACTGATCTGATCAGAGCTATACCAAAAAACGATAGTTATGTCAATACAAAACTAACTTCAAATACCAAATAATAGGAATTGTTGTGAAAGAATAATTGATGCTAGACTCTGCTGAGCTCGATGGTGCGGCACAATTACGACTTCCAGGAGAAATTTTCCGTCATTTCTGAATATTGTATTCTATGTCACCTGATCAAGTATATTATTAAAAATATTAGGATAAAATTACTCACCTTGCGAAATATCGGTGAGTGCTGACATATAGCACAGAATTTCGGCAGACATGGAAACGTTGTGAGTCGCGGCCGCAATCGTGGATTGCACAGAGATGGAAGGACCTGCGCTCGCATATGTCTCTGCCAAGTCACCAACTTGGCTCGGGTTGGCGGTTGTGAAATCATCTTCGCGAAGCTTCAAGTGACGGAATTCGTGGAATGCCATCAACTGAGAGAGAAAAAAAAGAATGGTGCTCACGCATATCGCCCTTGCTTACTGAGCGGTTATGCAACAAGTACTTATCTGTCAACTATCCCAGCACATTCTTGGTGCTTTATCTAAAATTAGAGCTTTGTAATTAATAGTTGCAACAAGTACATGCAAAATATCTAAGGTGAACTGACAGCCTAGATGTTGCAACAATATGTGAAATGCTCTTGTATTCATGAAATGAACGCTTTTACAATAAAATCAGGCTGTGTAAACTAATAAAAGCAGGCAGTGCATCGAAGGAAGGTGTAGGTGACGTTATTTATAGCCTCTACTTCCATTCTATAATTAGCGTTTATAATATAAAATTATTTTGTATATACCATTTACTACAATATATTCAGAAGCCCACAAGTATAGTCGCTTGCACTTATTCATTCTTCAATGTCGGTTAGAATTTATTTTGGTTGTGACTAAGAAAAAAAAGAATGAAACAATAAATTGGCTTCATTCAGACGGTTTATCGACACCAGAATCAGACTTCTTCAAGATGCAAAGTCACCCACAGACAATAATTATGGCGAGACATCTGTGTCACATCATCAAGTTCAGGTCCTTCAGCATAGCTCCATATTACAGATGTCGAAAGAAGTGCTTTTGCGACGCAGTAATTCTTTGGGCATCTACTTTTGCAGTCCTCAATAAAAACATCAAGACAATTGAATAGAGGTTGAAGACTTTGTAATGAAAGTTCTGGAAGTCATCGTAGCTGTAACAAGTAATATTTTTTTCCTGCAGAGCCCACAACTCGCCCCGTAAATGTTTTTTTTTTCGTGCTCACGAGCAATGCATCGACAATGCATGAAAAACACTGTCTTAATGCGTAAGGACTAAATTCTTGAAAATTGTTTTACTCCACCAATATTTATGGACGCACTAGTTGTTCTATACACAACACCGATCTTAGAAAGTGGCTATTTCTGCTTTTCACGCTTGCCGTCATTTCTTTTACGATGCAAACCTCTCTGGATCACACACTCTCTCTCGAATCTCTCTGAAGCACTGGTAATTTTGGAATGAACTGTCATGATGCGTTTAAACATGTGTTTTTATAAAAGAAAGATGTTGCAGTGCTGATATCACCTACTTTATTTTGCAACAGGTATCCTTGGTAGACGATTTGTTGCCCAGTTTTCGTGCTGGTCACACTCCACTTAGTTCACTCGAAAGCAAGAGCGTCTGTTTTGTCGCAACATGGCCATACCTGTGAAAGAAGAGTGAGCTGTATTTTAAATGCTGACATGAGAAATAAGACTGCGAGATTCCTTTTCAAGGAAGTGCATCTCACAAACAACAAGTTAACAGTCACACACACACACAAACACACACACACATACACACACACACACACACACAAAGACAGCCACGAGCAAAAGTTTCAACACCAATCTAAGCCCCAGTGAAATTTTCATGTTTTTTTTCTTGTCCATGCTCAAAAGAACGTAGTTGTTAGTTCGCGTATCACCTTGTGTTGTTTCTCTTTTTTTTTTGCAGTCGCATCTTACATGGTCGCGCATCATATCATGAAGACGTATACATGAAGATGTATATTATTAGGACGTATACCAACACCTATTGCAGTCTTACTCGCATATAAACTGCTTTTTCTTCTCCAGCCTGTGTGCATTGATTTGATTCAAATCGTCCGTGTGTTTGGTCACGTGTTATTTGCATTGAAGCCACTCCACACCGTGCAGCGGTGTCTTAAGCAAAAACCTGTTTTAACAGGTACCACGGTCCCCAAAATTTGCTCACGACTGTACGTCCCAATAGATAGAGACGTACAAGACAAAACGGTAGCATGCGGCGAAACCGAAGCAAACCATTATCTACATTATCTGTAACACCTTACTTACACCCGAGAAGAAAGTGATATTTTCATTTACCTGTTATGAATAATGAAATATACGCAAAGATCCTTGCGGTATGAGTGAACCCAGAATAAGCGCATATTTCTAGCCGCATTCCTCGTTTCTGTTTAGCAGAATTCAGTTCACCCTTACAACTAACGTCAGCAATGTTCGGCGCACACTGAGGTATGTTTGAGGAGCTTCACAATTTTAGTAAATTGTTTAGTGAATATTGCGTGCAGGAAGCGAGTAGACAGGCTTATTCCAGACCCTGATTGCGCAACCACCAGCGATGAAGCTTGAGAGTTCGGTGCGTAATGTTTAAAATAGGACGCATCCCAACGATGACTAGTTTTATCGACGGCCGGAGCTCTGTTTGGCGCTATTAGTGTACAACATGCATTGCTTGGTTGTATGTTTGGCTGTTTCGCGGCCACACGTTTGGCCAAACAAATAGTTTCAATTTGAACACGCCCACATTTGACTTCGTCAACGCCACCACCCCGTGACAATTTAGTGCATCATTCTCCGAGAAAATACGAAATACGTGCTTTCAAGCTTCTCCGTTTCGAAAGTTGTTACAAATGCGAATGAAAAAACAAAGAGTACTTTGTAAATATAACCCGCGATTACATTTCTTGGATAACGCCGAAGAAAGCGCTTGAAGTGGATGCATAGACCGCGGATATATTACGTTCAAACTGTCGGTTTAAAATTACCAATAAAGTGCCTTTCGGGCGCTTGACCGTGAACAACGCTGCAAGGATCGGGAACCTTTATGCGGTGACAAATGTAGAGGTAACCTTAACAACAATTGTAGGAGATTCACAGGTGGGCCCGCGAAGGGCTACCCGTCACCAGCTTTGGTAAATGGAAATAAACCGCAATCCGAAATGTGAAAATGATAAACTAATTGCTTATACCAACTTTCTGTAATGATTGACATGATGCAAGCCTGGTTTAGAATAGCGGGAAATTACACTAGACATTGAAATAATCAAATACTGCACTCACGCGGGAAGAAACATTACAGCACTTCGGGGACCTTTATGCCATTACCTTTATAGAAATCGCCCATTTTACGAGTCTGAATTATCATATTTTTCTTTCGAAACAGGATACGAATAATTGAAATTCTGACAGCGTGCCGTAATGTCGAGTTCCAGGTTCTACTGCTGCGTAGCTTAGATTCTGAATCCATAGACTGCTAAAAAAATGGTGACACAACTAAGGAAGCAAAAGGAGGTGGTCCGCACAGGTTACACAAATCCAAAAGTAGTCTAGTTTCCAGGGACTCCTGCCTTCCTGTTGAGGGACAAAAAAAGAAACGCAGAAAGCAACTTGCAACATCGCGTGCAGGAGTATATATATTTTTTTGCGTGAATCGGAGGCACCACTACTTTCTTAAAAAGGGGGAGGGAGTCAGTGCAACAGGACAAATTTTGCTTTTCCCTATCGACAATTTCACTTCCGCTGGACATTCAGCTAATTCAATCTCACTTTGATCTATTTGAATATAGCCTTCGCAATCCGTGCCTCATTTGCATTTTATATGCACTTTGAACTCGGCTTGATGTGCTTAAAAGCGTTTCCTGTTGTCGTTTCTGATCACGGCTAAGAAAAACGAAAGAGCTTTTCCTTTCCATGTGCTAGCGTCAAGGCACAAAAAACGGTACTGCAACTGTTTTCTTTTTCTCTGTATTTTTACATCGACAAAACACTTCCACACCTATTGTGGTTCTCTCGCACATGGCGTTGAAGCAAATCAATAATGTTTTCGCAAGGCGCTTGCGGCGTGAATCTGCCGCACGTGGGAGCACTGCATTAGAATGGTTCGCGCACCGATAATACCCAGAGCCACTGATGGGTGCGCAAAGAAAATAATTTGTCGAAATATTTCATATTATCGTGTTTATGAGCGCTATACACACCTCGTGGATAGGACGTGAAATAAAATTGACGGCGCTTTCGATATCACCGACACTATGACTACACTCTTTTATTGCGAAACTCTCTTTATTCAAAGTCGCTGCAATGGTCGATTCGCCGAATTGCTGTCAGAGTTTTAGGACTTTCTGTAGCGAACAAAGTAGCTCACCATTCCAAACAAAGCGAGTATTTTAGCGCGCAAAGTGCTGTGCTGCTTAAATCTCGATATAAGATTTTACAAAAGCCACACTAAACGGCTATGCTCTCCCATATAGTGGAGTACAAAGTACTCTAAATCGTTAACCATATTTTGTCTGAATACACAGCTTGAAGTAAATGTTCTACTCTTGTCATCGTGTCTCCTTTTGATGCCAGTCATAGATACAAAAACACAAACGACTGTATATAGAGTTCTCTTTATTTAACCACTATTTTCCCGGCGTCGCTCCATCCTCAAGGGGGTATGGTAGGGCAAGTGGTATATCTCAGTTTTAGTATACTACCTTAGCGACGGCTGCAAGTATGCCCGTGAATTTTTACGTGCTCACAAAAAATGCAACTGAGTATCAAGTGACACCCTTTTTTTATGCCCAGGTTGCTTATTTGTCCCATGAATCACTCCCAAATTTCAAAGTTGGGTCATCTATTCAATGTACCATTTCTCTGCAACTGTCGAAAGGAATGTAACCATATTAAGCCGTGTTGTTCTAGAGACTCACAGCTTACATCCGAATCAAAAGAATGCAGCATTTTTTATCAAGTTTTGTAAAATAAATAAAAATTTTGCTTGCACGACGTCGCAGAGGGTGCATATTGTATCGCAATTTTTTTACAGCTTTACTTTTTATAAAATCAGTAATGTTTTTAGTTCACATTGTTTATAACGTCTGGTATCTTACGCATACAAAGTTTCATCAAAATCGATTCAATCGTTCTTTTTTGAGAAAAGAAAAATTAAAGTTGAAAAGTTTACAGAAAACGCAATAGGTGACCGTAAAATGGGCAATCGCAGGAAACTGTGGCATACGACGACTTCCGGTTCGACGCACCGCACGAGTCAACACCAGCACGCGAGCATTTTTGCACTGCTCCGTTCAAAAAAAGCACCTCGCCGTGCAATGTCAGTGCTTTCTTTATTTTTTTTTCAACCGTGACTCTGACGATGACAAGCTACGAAAGCCACGAACGGTCCTGAAACATTTTTGTCGCACTAAATTATCTGCAATACTTTTATGCTGCTCGGGGGTGCTGTCAGTTTGGTCAGCAGATCAGCTGATACGCAAAACAGTTTTTCTTGTATGATACGGTGCTGCAGATAAAAATTCACCATTTTGAAGATCTCAGCAATGGGGATGACTGTAGCAGTGTGCTAAGAGTTCATTTCGGGATCGCTGCTTCAACCGACATCGTCAAACGATCCGCATGAAGCGCAACAGTTATTGAGCGCGTGGAGATATTTTTTTCTAGCCTTTAGCGCGCTATAGGATGCGTTTCTTAGTCGAAGTCAGATGCTTATTTGAACGCTAATTTTGGTCAAGCTGCACGGCACGGCGGCACAGAAACAATGCAGTCAGACATAGACGGCGCCGAATAATTGAAATCCTGCGCTTGTTTAACGCACTTCTTCCTTTGGTTGCCGTTCTGGCGCACAATTTCACCAAGATAAACGCAAATGAACTCGCCCAGCGCTTCGTGTAAACATACTTTTGAGTGAAGCTTTCACGTTTTCTTTTTGTCATATATATAGGTGCAATGACCGGCGCTAATCCCGTATGGCAGGTAGATTTCACCCGCTCATTCCCATAATATCGTTGCTAGGTGCCCCTGGGCGACAATTTATTTCTCAATACAATATTCGCAGCAAGTTCACGCGTAAGCTTTTTTGTTAGTGTGGAATACACACGTACCTGTGATAAAATGGTTTTCGCACACTCTGGCTTCAAAGTTCCGTACTCAAAAGCTACCTGTCGCTGTGGCTTTCTTCACAGTCGCGGCCCAGCTCGTTTTTGTATTCAATACATTGCAATTGATACCTGCGTTTGCCTTACACGCTCGAGTTGCAGCCAACGGCTGAACAAGCAACCATGGTTTATCAGAACGAAGATAAACGGGTGACCGAACGCGTGAATCCCGAATAATCTGAGGCTTGCAGCGAAGCGGTTTGCCGTCGTCTACTCTTCTCGAACCCGAAGCCGGTAGCAGACGGTGCATCCCACAATCCTTCGCTCTTTTGCTTGTCGCCTATTTGAGAAAACGACGTTTTAAATGCGCATACTGCTTACACTATAGGGCGCGCGGCACACTTCGGCGCGGCCTTCGAAACCACTTAGAGCGGCGGCTCAACGTCGGGTTTTCAAAGGTTTGTTCCGAATAGTGCAGTGGATTTCAAAGCATTGAAATCAAAAGTTC